GCTAGCGCAGATAGCCCTCGTGTAGCTTTGCGTGAAATTCAAAACAAACTAAGCAAAATAAATATTATTGTTTTTATAATTAGTATTTTTTCTTTTTTGTGAAGATGGCTTGAATCTTATAATCTAGTTTTAAATAATAATATATTAGGTAACATCGCTCATCTTAACTATCGTGTTCAAAACACATTCTTTTCCCCAGTTTAAAATTTAATTCAGACATACGGTTTCTTTCAGATGGCCCACTCTGTAAATAAAGCCACGTAATAATGGCGGAAATGGGTGTATCCAATGTTGTTTGGAAGAAAACAGTTTACGTATACAGGCAGCTCATGAACAGGGGACATGGCCCAACTAACATGCTCTACAAGTGAACTCAGAATAAAACTAGAGAGTATACATGTGAACAAGATGCGAAAAATATCGTTAAATACGTTAACTTCAACTAATCGGGATTATAGTCCTCATTCTTGGTCATCCACGAGTTACTACTTAAGGATGTTAAAACATCGTGAAATACGTTAACTTCAATTAATCGGGATTATAGTCCCCATTCTTGGTCATCCACGAGTTACTACTTAAGGATGTTAAAACGTCTTGAAATACGTTAACTTCAATTAATCGGGATTATAGTCCCCATTCTTGGTCATCCACGAGTTACTACTTAAGGATGTTAAAAACGTGAGAATACACTACCTAAGTGTTCAGTTGAAATTGTTTTCAAATTTTGACATGTTAGGAACGTTGAAAAGGTGTCAGAAATCATCCTTGTATTCACTTCACAGTGACTTTACTACATTCAATATGGCCACCATCTGTGACGTCTGTTAAATGTGTTCTTCAAATAATACTGGGATTGTTTTCCAGCACATAAATACTGGAGTGTGGAAAATTTGTGGATTGATATGGGTATCTTCAACAAGTTTCAAAATGACGACTGAGGCATGTAGGTGCATACGTGAACTACATCTAATCGTGAAGAATTATGTTAAAGGTGTTACGGTGTGGTGTACATTCTGCATTCCAGGGCAGGACGTCTACGTAACTAAATACCCACGGATATCAAGAGTTAGTATTCATCAAATTACCAACTTCAGTTGATCATATATTACACCACGTTGAGTAATTCTATGCTTTTGCCTGTTACAACACTCTATGTGAACAATTAACTAAATAAAATGGCTGATATCACTCATTTTTGATATAAAGTACACAAAGGACCCAACGTTAATTATCGGGATTCGTTTCAAAATAGATTGTATTTTTCGTTAAGTATTTGTTTGTTTGTTTTAATTATGCACAAAGCTACACAAGGGCTATCTGTGCTCTGCCCACCACGGGTATCGAAACCCGGTTTCTAGCGTTGTAAGTCCGCAGACATACCGCTGTGCCACTGGGGGGCGTATTTTCGTTAAAAAAAGTATGACTCTTATGTTACTATAGACCCTGCAACCCTCCTCCCCCCAAAAACAACAACGACAATGGACCTATATGCAATATTATGCAAAAATAGCTTAGAGATGGCTATCGGGATGTTACAGAGAGCACGCCTCGCGAACGAGCAGTAATTTTCCAGTCCAATGGTGTTGTCACACCCACCATGACTACATGTTCGGCGGAAGGAATTGAACCTGACTTTCCCAGGTCAAAATGAGATCTAAATATCAATCAAGAACGATGGTCTTACAAAATGTTCAACAAAAAACTAAACGAAATTTTCGAAAAGCTGTCACACAAGTGTGGGCTTAAATAGATCTGAAGAAACGTAACGAAACAAGCCTGTTTTTTCATTTCTTAATATTTTGAAAATTAAGCAAAATTAAATGACTATAAAATACATTTTCAAAGTATACTAGCTGACCGATTCGAACACTGGTGGGGGCCCTAATAATGCATGCCAGGCTTGGTGACAACAGGTCAAGCAATTATAAACTGACATACACACTTTTGTCAAATAATTCCAAAGCAGCAATAAGTGTAGGTGCTGGGGGTGTGTCCCCCACATGTAAAATGCCAGTACGGTTCACTGTTTGTCATATTATTATTGATAATTTTTTCACGGTGTCTTATTTCTTACAGAATTCACTTCATTTAGTCTGTGCATATGTATAAAAACGAAAATATTCTATATATCTAAAAATATGTACCTCATCCCAATACCCCATTTTCAGCCACCCAAGTTTAAATTCGTTCCCACGTCTCTGAATAATGGTTTAGAACTTCAGCTCATCTAAAATGTCTACTACCCTTTAATTATAGGTTTCATATAATATTTTGTTGAAAAATGGGTTATATACACATTATGCACTAATTTAAAAAATAGCAGCTCAAAGTACGTTACTAAGTGTGAAAGTGTAGTACGACATACGAGACCTGGAATGGAAAACTTTCGTGTACTTCCTATGATTGGACAAGATCAGTAACCCAGATCCTTCCCATGTTTGATGCGATTTACTGCCTTTCATTTTCCATTCAGGGTTTTCCAATGAATAATAGATCGTAAATCATCTTATATTAATCTAACCTTCTTTCTCTTGGGAATCGCTCTTAAAATCGGCGAGTAACATTGATTAGCACTGACAAACGTTTGACCTATGACCTCTGGATTTTTTTCCGATACTTTCAAGCAGCTTTCACTGGAAATCTTTTTCTTATGACGTCGAAAACTGTGCATTTTTCGGTGTAAGTGAAATAACAACATTTTTATCAAGCTTTTGGTTTGGTTGTTGCTAAGCGCAAAGCTACACAACGGCTTATATGTGCTTTGCCCACCACGGGTATCAAGATTTGATTTTTAGCGTCGTAATCCTACTGATTTACCACTGAGCCACTGGGGTATACTTTATTTTTATCAAGCAATGTAACCAAAACTTGTACTCTGCAACAACCAACGTAAATATGGTTATAGTTGACTGGAGTTTTAAGTTTCTAAAGTATATTTAAAAAAATTGAAGTTGACTTTAAAATTGTTTCAACAAATTTTGTGGGTGATGCCTCACTTAGGAAAATATTACGAGTGATTTGCTAACATTGAACTTCAATTAGTTAAATCACTAATCTAAATGAACTTTTCAAGTAACGGTTTAAATTCTGAAAGCTGACGAAGCATTAGAAGCCAACAGGTCTACAATTTATGATAACAAATCATTTAAACTGCAGATCCCCCCCCCCCCATATTCCCGTTGAGTTGTTCATTTGGAATTGAAAGTAAAAAGCGTGTAAAAATAGCATTTCAGATCAGTCTTTAGTGTCCCACAAGTTACCGTCAAAATTATAAGTCTTTTGACGGTAATTTGTGGGAGACAGAAGCTTTATCTGAAATGCTATTTTTTACACACCTCCAGTTTTCAATCCAAAATGAGCAATATAAGGGGAATATGGATAAAAAAAACTCACAAATTTTAGGTCTAATGGATCGTCTATTTGTTTGTTTGTAGTGGGCTATCTGTGCTCTGCCCACCACAGGTATCGAAACCCGGTTTCTAGCGTTGTGAGTCCGCAGATATACCGTTGTGCAACTGGAGGGCAGGTCTAATGGAACTTTTGTGTAGTTTTTACGAAATCCAAACATTCCCTCGTTCTATTTTTTTCACTGGTTTAGTAAATTACAGGTCAGAATTCACAGATTGGTAACTATCTAAAGGAATAATTAATACACATTTAAAACTTCATTAATTATGGTGAAGTTCCCATTGACTGTGTGTGTGTGTAGCAATTGTAGCTGTACACTAACCATTTAATTTTAAAACTTTGTACCTGTAATAAATATTTTCAAGAGTGTAGTTCAGTCCGCACAGAGAAAAAATGAGACAATTATAAGTTTTATATATTCACTGCTTAATAAGATATATAATAGAAAACACGAACTTATTAATATACTCTTTATCAAGATATTTTGCTGTTCGCCATCGCATCTCGTGTTATGTCAGTTATTATGAGAGATTATGAAATAAAAGGAAGACACCAATATAAAATTATCCGATATTTATTTAGTAAACATTTTGTATAAGGCATACTATTACTAAAATGATATTCAAATATTTTTTATTTGTATACAACAGTTCGATAATAACAACGCATTTTTCATGTCTAATAATATGACTGACACAGACTTATTGGAGAAAAAAACTACAATTTCACAGTAATTTTTTTAATGTGCTAAGAAAATTAATTGCATTAAATATAAATCAGTTAAAAACAGTATTGTCGTAACAGTATACTACTCGAAGCGTCACGAGATGGCGTAGTGATACAACACATCGTGCAGGAAACGAACCGATGCATGCCGCAAACAGAAGACGAATATCACATAAGTACTGGTTATGAAATCAAAAATACCAGTACCTGATGTAATACTCATCTACTGGAAGCTGTCCCACCATGCTTTGGGAATGACCAAAACAAAAATATAAGCACGGCAATGTACGGTTTAAAGTAGTTTTCAAGACAGAAAAAAAAAATAATGGTTTGTTACGACAATATTTTTAATTTCTACAAAGTACCTTGATATTTTTTCTTTGAAAAATGATTAGATAACGGGGAATTAGTTAACTACCATATATGTATTTATTTTAATACAAAAACATGCAGCAATAAAATTTGGGGCAAATAAAAAATATATAAAGAAAAGTGTCAAGTCAACTGCAAAACTAAATAAAATACAATTCAGCAAACAACTAACTCAGCATGCCTGAAAACATGTCACCAAGTTAATATTACAGACTTCACAAATTGCGTGAAATTCTTTCAAGCATTTCAAAATTAGGGTCTTACAGCAAATGTCCACAAACCTGTAAAACGAGTTAATTATATTATTGATTACTTTAATCCAAATAGTTCATTCAAGTTTTATTTCTTCAAATTGAATTAATGTACTTGGGTTTTCAACTGTTTTATTTTCAAACATAATATATTTTAATTTTCTACGATATTAATAGTAGTATTTACAATAAATTAACGCTTTTATAAGTTTTTTCTTATGTAGAATTTTATTCGTTTACACAAATTATGTTAAAGTTACGATTTCTGTGTTACTTCTCAACACTAAAAACTCATGTTACGATTTTACCAATCGATGAAGATACCTTAGGCCTAACTACCACCGTAAACTTGTGTCGTGTTTATTAACTCCATGTGTATAATGCTACCATCTGCTGAGATAAAACTTAAATTCACAGAAACTATAGCCATGTATATTAATAAATTTTAATCACTAAAAGTTAACAAACGAAACTACTAGAGTATTAATCAATTAAACTATTTTAAATCATATTTATTTATTACTTACATTCAGTTTTATTAATACAATTTGGAATTTTCGAATGTTTTTCTCGTGAGTAATTTGATATGAGAAAAAATCATAGGAGGAGAAAAACATTCGAAAATTCATAGGAAAAAAAAACAGAAAGAAAAAATTAAACCCTTTCCATCCACCACCATTAATACAAGAGCAGTCCTTGCTGTATGTTGATTTCAAACAGACGTGAAGGTGGTTAGATTGGTGAGAAACATGGTGCCTATCGCATCTCACTAGGTACCCCGAAATAGGCCTATCCAGAGTTACCTCATGAGATTAGACCGCCACCACTACAGATAGTTTAGAAGATGGTGCGAGAACAAAGGAGACCAGGGTTCATGCAGAGAAACACCCATGCAAGATTAAAACAAAATATTTCAAACCTTGACGGAAATCATTAGAAGAATACGTTTCTTCTGTTCAAACATCTTTTCATCTAAAAAAAAACAAAAAGGAACAAAAGATTCAGTGTATTTTTTTGTACTTCGATACAAGATTTAATGGGGATAACCTTAGTTTATATTAATTGCAAGTAAAATTTTGCTGTTCCAGTTTAAAAAGTAAAAGATTTTTTTCTGGCTAAAACCTGAAACTTAAAACTAGGGTTTTGCTATTAGTAAAAGAGAGAGAGAAAAAAAAGGCCAACGTTATCACACTATTCTGAATTACAAATATCAAGTATTGTTGTCTTCACATCCTTTGGTTTATTTTTCAAAGAATTTTTTTGTTATTAAAACATAAGATTAATTAGAGCAGAAATATCTTGATGTCACGGCGTATATGTTACATTACTGTACTGGTTACAACATGTACACAACACTGCTTAGAACTGGAACATTTTCTGTTTCGAAAAACTAGGGTTATCAATCGTTCATTAGCTTGGTAGTTTATCTACTCGTCATAGCACTAGCTGTCACACCTAAAACACACAAAGATTTGGACACTCCTAAGTAACCCATCTTTATTTACTTAATGTTGAGGATTTTGTTAACAGGCCGTTACCTGACGAACTCCTTATCACATACATCTACAATTAAGAGATTGAAACTTACCAGGACAAGAAACTAAATTATACACATTTCGTGAATTTATTTCGTATTAAGTTAATGAAAAGAAAGACTAAACTAATAATACGCCTGCAAGTATTAATATAAAAACTTGCGAACAGAATATAATGAAAAACATAATTAAATTAAGAAAGTTTCATAATTTCGACCGCCGATGATTCTCCACCAAACTTACTCTTAATGTAAAAAATCATGTGTTTTACAATCCATCGTAGGCCCAACTAAAAACTAAAGTTAACTTGAAACATCGCATAATTCTTACGCCCATTAAACCACATTTCACGATATAAAAAAAATAAAAAATTATCGATCCAAAGAATTTGTTATTCAATACACGAAACATACAAGTAGGCCACCATAAAGATCACCACCACCAGACCATATTTTAGCTTTTAGGCTGAAGCTTGTATTCTTGCAGAAAGATTAAGCCTAAAAACTAAAGTTACTGTGATTTATTATTATGAGACTGATAAACGTAACTATTGTCTCATTTCTAATCTACAGGAATTACCAGCACGAGGAAATTTTTATATGGTTCATTTCTCTGTTGTTAAGCGCAAAAATAAACAAAGGCTATCTGTGAATTAGTGCTGAGCCACTGGGAGGAGGGGTGGTGGTGGTGGTGTTTGTTTGTTTTTGAATTTCGCGCAAAGCTACACGATGGCTATCTGCGCTAGCCATCCCTAATTTAGCAGTGAAAGACTAGAGGGAAGGCAGCTAGTCATCACCGCCAACTCTTGGGTTATTCTTTCACCAACGAATAGTGGGATTGACTGTCACATTATAAAGCCCCCACGGCTGAAAGGGTAAGCATGTTTGGTGGAACGGGGATTCAAACCCGCGACCCTCAGATTGCGAGTCAACAGCCCTAACTAACTGACCATGTCGGTCGGGGGGGGGGGGGTCACCAATGAGCGATCATTACATTACACTCTGTTGTTAAGCGCAAAGCTACAACACAGACTAGTTGTAGTCCACAGACATACCGCTGTGCCACTGGGGGGCGCACAAGCGGACGAAAGGTTTTTATTGTAAAAAATATATTTTTGCTCTTAGCCAAAATTTGAAAGCACTCGTTTTCCATCCAAAAAATAAATGAACTTAAGAAAATTAAGACATGCTATTTCAGTACTATGTCACAAATACAATGGTAATCTTTAAATTCAAAATTTCATCAAATGCAAAGAAGTGTATGTAGAAGTAAGAGCTAGCATCTTATTCTTATTTGTTTATATGCTTTCAGTATACTTCAAAAATCGTTTAACTTTTTGAGCATAAGTGTGATTAATATTTCCACTGAACCATTAGAAATACTTTTATGCATTATTCCCCCGAAAGCCGCCTGGAAGGGGTCACCTGTTTTAACCACTCGCGCTACAATAAAGTAGTGTTTTGTCTGTCAGTCAATCAGTAGACATTAAAATGATGTCACATAAGGGACGCTTAATGTTGCAATTTGTATTATCGTGACGTCATTAAAACATGCACATGCCATGAATCACGAGAAGAATTATGCATTCTGTAGACTACAACACAGCATGACATATGAACTTCAAAAACTAGAAATGAAAATATTTGTTACTCTTAATTTTGGTTCTATTTACTCTTGAAACAAAACACTTTCGAGGACCCTGCTGAAGTACATCCAGTATTTATAAATAAAGTTATATAAGTGAAAACTAAACCTGACTAGAATATACTGTTTCTTACTTCTGCAGGATTAGGGTTAGTAGGAAAAAAAAACGATTGCGAATAAATGATCTAAAAATTTTAATCAAAATACTTTGAATTATGTAATTGTTAAAAAAAGGACTTCGTATTCCTACCGCACACCATCTGTTCTCAGTGAGTTACAAACATGCCCGATATATCTGATTATTTAAACATGTACTCTAAACAGTGATAGAAGATTGATATGTAGTCAGGTTCTACAGAATTTTAGGGTTAAAACTACTGCACAATCAATCTTACACTAAGCAGAAGATAAACGATAAAAGTGTTATCAATAGATAGTTATAAAATATTTGTTAGATAACAGATGTCGAAAATTTGGAAAGACGCTAAAACTACCAGTTAATGTAATTCATACACAGGTATATATAATACCCTTGCCTTTGTCTGTCTGGAACTTTTCTCGCAAATTTCTTGATTAAACGCTACAAATCTCACATTGTTAGAAAGGCCTTTGTCCGAGGAGTCCCGATTGCATATTGGCTTTTCCCATTCAGAATCACCTTACATGTTTTGTGTTCAGTCAAACTTTGTAATGCAATGAGTGTGATACACGATGGCAAAATAGTGTTGTCGTCACGTGACGACTGGCTTCATTTCAACTTAAGTGTTTTTATTTGCAAAGTATTTCACACATACAACACTTAATCCGCATGTAATTTCCTACAAAAATTAATATTACACTAAATACAATTATTATGGGCTTTCTCGAGTTATTTAGGTCTAAAATACGCATGCGCAGTTCGTTCAAAACCATATGCTTATCACTTTGTGAACAGGCATTCAGACGTTTTTGCATAATCAGCTAAGTTTGCCTTCATTACAACTTTACATTTACTTTACTTTGAAATAATTTACCTTCGGTTCATTTTACAGACTGGTATAAACACCTTTTAGCTACTTTTTTTATATTTAGTATGGGTTTTATTGTGAGTTTTGTAGTTTCAACTCGTAAAACCGTGTTATACACTTAATGCTCATAACTGTTTCATACTCTGTACACTATTATAAATACCATTACGTTATTGTTTACTTTACGAGAAGCATTATTAAATTTAGGTACGTCTACGCGAGTTTGTTTGTCTGACCACGTAAAACGTTTTCAAACAGACCACTATTTATAGATCTAACATGTAATGCTTGCAAGAAAACGTAGCTTAGATACCGTGCGTGAAAATGATAGAATAAGGAAAATTCACGTGAAGGGCATGAAAACTACCGCAAATGTTTTGCGGATCGCGGCTAGTAACCATATAATATAATTACACACACTTCACACAAATTACACTTATTAGAACTGAATGTCACGAAGAAAGTTAATAAATTTATATGAGTAGAACAATTTAGAGTGCATTACTGATTTTTCTCAACGTGGTACAAAGAGTTGTATCACGTAATTCTTTTATACGTGTACCCACCTTTCACACTGGAATCACTCTTTAATGAATGTGATGTCAATTGTTTTATTTTTCGAAAATTCTCCCAAAGCTTTACAAACGGCTATCTGTGTAGTCGTCCCTAAATCTGAACTGGCAGACTAGAAGGAAGGCAGGAAGTCAACAGCACCCACCGCCAAGTTTTGTCTGATCGTCACTCTTATAACACACCCACAGCCCCACAGATCTACAGTGTGATAACCTCTTCGAAAGTATATAGAGTGATTAAATAACATTCTAATATGCTTTTACACAAGTCAGTGTGCAGTAAACGAAACAGTACAAAGGTATCCTCAAAGAACAATATTCAGGAGAAAAAATGGCGGGTGGGTTTGAGACCGACTCAACTGGGTCCGGTCGTGTATTCAGAAAAGTGTCGAGAAGGATACGCGACTTCTACAAAAACCTAAGATCTTTAAAGTGCATATTCTCACACACGGAATTAACTATTACTCAAGAACAAAACTATCTTAAAATCTCACGGGCTATAGCCACAGTCATCTAACCCTAGCACTACTAGTATATATTGGGGGGGGGGTCATGAAACCTTATAAGTGTAGTGAGTGTTGGTATGATAATCCTAAACTAAAGACGTAGTGTAGGAGCACCTAGCCTGAAGCCAAGTGCATAAAATTTATCATGAAAATAAACGTATTGATTCAATTTTAAATTTAATTCGTTTCTGAATTAAGCTATTTTCTGTTATATCACCAACGTTTTTAATAAAAAACAACAACAAACCTCTCTAATCAACGGAGACTCTAAATTAAGAAATCGAAAAATATTTTTCCAGTTTTGTTGTCTATACATATCATTTTATACTTTCAGTACATAGACTAACAACAATATTAGGTTATACTTTTGTTTCTAAAGGACCTGACATAAAAGCCATTGTTGGAACGTAGTGTTACCGAAACACACTGGCTTTTCAACATATTAGAAATTGTTAATTTTAAGTGATTTTTACCAATAATTATTCCATGAATACGCCACGAATTCTATTCTATGAATACGTCATGAATTCCTTTCATGAATGATCTTAATTTTGATTGGCT